CATAGATCCAAGGTTTATAGGGTTGCATGTACACCATAGGAGTGTTAGAATGCTCAAAACCCAACAGGCGAGTCGGCTAGGGTTTTTCCCCAACCCTTTGATACGCGTGAACTCGGCGAGTTGCGAGGAAACGCGACGAGTCAACCAAGGATTTCATGACATCTCGAGTTCAGGAAGGACTCAACGAGTCGGTGAACTGCACTCGACGAGTCGAGTCAACATGGACTGTTGACTTTGACTGTGGACTTTGACTTTGACCAAGGGTTGACCAGTTGGCTTCTGAGGATATTTTGGTAAATTGAATATTGATAGCAAAGGACATTGGTGAATATAGGTGTGGGAGTTGGAGCTACTTTTGGAAGAGTTTGACACTACCTTCCGAGCTACTTGCGAGGTGAGTTATCCTCACTATACTCAAGGGTCTAAGGCACCAAGGCCGGCCCTTTGGATTGTTATGTGGTTATATTATGCTAGTATGATCTGTTGGATCGGTATCCTAGAGGGTAGGATAATATTATATGATATATGGTATGATCTGTTAGATCAGCATCCTGGTAGATAGGATGGTGTTATGTGCTATGTGGTATGATCTGTTAGATCAAGTATTGTCTATAGACTGTTGTGTGATTATTTGTTATATGTGCACATGTTTGTTTGGCGGTTGAGGCTTATCTGCTTTGTGCGAAAGCCAATAGACCTGGGCATTCCAACCTGTTGGTTGTGGGCCGTGAGTATTCCATCCCGAGGGTGACTGGACTCATAGTATGTGGGCATTCCAACCTGTTGGTTGTGGGCCTGGGGTATTCCATCCCGAGGATGATTGGACTCATAATATGTTGGCATTCCAACCAGATGGTTGAGGGCCTGGGGTATTCCAACCCGATGGTTGACTAGACCCATAGTATGCTGTTTATGATTATATGTGTATTGTTATGGGTATGGGTATTTTGGGGGAAAATCACTAAGCTCTCGGGCTTACAGTTTCAGTTTATTGTTTCAGGTACATCAGGGGATCGCGGCAAGGCGAAGGCGTGATCGTACAACTCCTCATGTTTTTTTTATGTTTCTGGGAAAACTCTGATATTATACATTTTGAAAACAAAGTTGTACTGATTTTTAATGGTTTGAAATGTTTTTAAAAGTTTTAAATCGACTTGAATTTTTGGGTGTTACACGAAGTTTGGCGATTTTTAAACCCAAACCACCCCATATGATGTTCATTATCGCCTCCTCAGCGCCGGTTCTTTAGATTGGTTGTGTTTGGAGCTCCTCTGAGGAATATAGTTTGTCGTCGTTGCTCTCGATTTCTCCACTGTGCAACACCGTCGCTCCACCAAACGTTGTTGATTTTGTCGCCGCCACCATTTCTGGAACCCTAAATCGACAACATTTTTGGTCCGGTATAGTAAAACCCTCTTTCTTTCCCATATATTTTCTGTTAACAAAACTCTAATCTCATTCTTTTTTCAAATTCTTCTATTGATCTTGGTCGAAATGGGTATTTAAATAATTTACAATTGACAAGTTTGAATATTGCACTTGTGGGTTGTGCAGTACACGACATATAGTAGGTATGCGTTTAAATTGAGTTTTTTTAGCCACCGAAGTCAATCTAAAATGTAATCAAATTTCTTTGTTTTGTTTGTTCTTTGGTAAACCTTTGAATCATCCATTGTTTAATATTTTTATTGTCCTTAATTGTTTATTGTTTCAATACTTTTAGTTGTTTATTGATTCATTGTCCTATCATGTAAAAGCTCATGAATGTTTTTATTGGGGTATAATAGTTCTGTTGTATAGAATATTGATTCTCGCATCAATTTCAGAACAAAAAAAAGTACATCAATTAAGCAACAATAAAAAGAGTATTGGCGTAATTGGTTACACATGCCTGCGAGGCGTTTGTTGAAATTTCAGATGCATTTAAAACCCGATAAATTAATTTTCCCATGTTTCTTAATTTTCACTTTTTCTTATTTTCCCTCTTTGAATTCTTAGCAAATCAATTCTGTTTAAAAAAACTCGTTGATAGAAAGATGGAAACATGATTAGTAAATCCACAAGTTTTTGTAGTATTCAAATTCTCACCGAATTAACAGGTGCAGTAAACTCATTCTTACAGAATATAATATGAAGAACACATTTTTTAAACCATATTTAATTGATCCGAGCGTATAATAGTGAATTTTGTAAACCCTTGTGAGTTTTTTTGTTTGTAACAGCCTTGTTGTCAGTTTTAGTGGGTGTTAAGCCCTCTTAATATCTTGCTAATGATGATTTGTAAGCCTTTTAACACTTCAGATCAGGTGTAGGCTGCTAGAACCAAAGAAATTGCCTCAAAAATACATGTGAACTCCCAAAACCGAACATATTGCGAATTTCCTGTTTTGAGATCTTTGTTGTCGGGTTTTATGGGTTTTAGATCTTCTTACTTGTCTCAAATGATATCTTTTATGTTGTTTAACACTTAGGATCAAGTCTGCTCAATTGAATCAAGAAAATGTCCCAAAAATGCTACTTTGAACCTTATTCTTCATATTCAAATCACAACCATACATAGTGATATCTATATAGCTAAGAAATGATGAGATCATGTAGGTGAAAATGTTGGAGTAAAAACATAGTAGATTACAAATGGAACCTATTTACTGCAACTTCATTACCCCCTTATACATATGTTCATTCTATGAGAATATAAATATTACATAAAACATGTGTTGCTAGTAATTCTAACACAATACATTTATATATGCTTTAGAATGTTTATACATATAGAAGAAAAGACTATGATTTAAGTTCATTTTGTAATGTATTCTGTCAGAATTTATTTATATAAATGCATTCTGTTAGAATATATTTGAGAATGTTTGTTAACAACAAGTATATTTGTTTAACGGGTAATAGTAACGAGTAATGTACTTATTCTTCCAAAATTGCATGGATAAGCAATTCAATATTGATCATACAAGAGAAATATTTGGAATCGAGTTCAACAACAAGTATATATGCGAAGATCAAGTGGATTATATGGACCACTGAAGAAGATCAAGTGTATTTGTTCAATAATTGTATATTCAAGAATGTTATTTCTTAAGAATTTTATTCATTTTTTATGATATTTTGTTAGAATATGTATAATTATATTAAAATGTATAAGGATATTAGCCAGTAAGAATATGTATGAATTTTCATTTAATTTCGGATGTATATTAAGAATAAAATCATAGACCCAACTTGGATGTATATGAATAATATGTAGAATTCTTAAATCAGGTTAAGTATCAAAAATATCTGCATTGGAAATATATTCTACAAGAATAAAATAGAAAATATATTTACTAGTTTATGGTTGGCATTCTGTCATTCTGACAGAATAAAATCGGATTTTTAAATTTGGATTAATTTAAAATATTTAGATTTTTAAAAATAAAGGAAATAATTATCCCTAAAAATCTAAAAATTTTATTTTTTAATATAGGTTAATTGACTAAAATGCCCTTATGCTGAAATTTGTGTGATTATATGGTACATGTTACCCT